GGCAGTCGAGTCTCGACGATCTTCACTGGTTTGATCTTGATCGGCATTGGTGTGACTTCGTACGGCCTGTGAGTCAACAGATACAAGGGAGCGATCTGGAGCTCTCAACATGCTGCAGCTACGAATTCTATTCGACGTTTACTACATGGCCAAAAGACTTGAGAGGTGATTTACGATCTGCAGTAAAGGCAGACCATCAAGGAAACCTTAAAATATCTGAGGCTTATTTCCGCCGGTGCGCACCACCCCATCACCTTGACCGCGGCAATTTAATTTTAGCCGATTGTTAGCGCATGGGACAAGGCGCAGGCGTTGACACCCGAGCAATTAGGCGGCCAACGCCATCTCAAAATTAGTGGCATTGCAATTGCACTCGCCGCAGTACTAGAGAAACAAAACAACTTGCACGGAGCATACGAAACCTATGCTCATGCGTTTGCCGATATCATCCGGGCACCACCTCCGCCAGCACCCGCTCCTATCTTGTCTGGCCCGGAACGTATGCGTGCAGTGGGGCTCTCGATGAAGCTTGCGGAACTGGCTGCACGGTTTGGGCAGCGTGAAGAGGAAGAGAATCATTTGGTATTTGGCGTCGAGGAAATATTGAGGATGGTAAAGGAGGAGTCCGGAGCTATTCCTACTGGCCAAGCAGCAGAACCGAAGCAGGAGCTAATACTCCCCGCTTGGGTCTCCCATACGGACGCAGGGTCGGTACTGGAACGATTAGCTGAATTTTACTCGAAAACCGGCAGACCAGAGTAAGCAAAGCTGGATATATTGATGCGTGTGCTTACTCGACTTGTAGTTACGCAGTGCCACTTTACTTGCAGGCACTTTCAATCCTTCTCCCTCCGTCCAAGTCTACGAGCCGAACCCCCACCATTACCGATAGATGTCGAGGTTAGTTCCTTTGCTCTCTCCTAGGCCTAATGATTATATTCGTTGCAGGCGCACTACTCATGAACAACCTTGCCGAAATATTTGCAACGCCCACCTCCTCTCGTAAAGCTAATATCGAACAAGCCACAGCCTGGGCAAAGAAAGGTTTAGCCGTGGCTCAAAAGGCACGGGGAGAAATCGTATCAAACAAGAAACAGTCAAGCGATGACCCGACCCCGATCTGCGAGTCTGTGCTCGCTGTGCTAGTCTATAATCTTGGGATGCTAAGCGAGGTGAGCTCTTTTGCTTTTGGCGCCTTTCATCCCGCTAATCTCGGACTAGAAAAAAGACGATATAAAAGGAGCGCAGGCATTCTTCAAGCAAGCGTTGGATCAGTCTGTCAGCGCCGGGTTTGAGGAAGGTAAAACTGAAGCGGAAAAGGCGATTGCTCGAACAACCAAAGGTCGAGTGTAACCCATTGTATTGACCTTAGGTTCCTGCTTCCGTTGAGTAATAGTTGTAGTATTGCAAAGTGTTTAGTTGAATTGGCTAAGTGTATATGCGCTCTGGGCAGAGTCGGAAAAACAGAAGCCGAGCTTACGGTTTCCTACCAAGGCAAACGAAAGTGTTACAACGACCCCCTCGTCCCATACAAAGTCGTACCTGTACGGATTATGCTAATACACCTGTGCATGTATATTTGGAAGCTCTTACTGCTGCTCCGATGGGCTAATCACCCTGTTCTCTCAATGATTTGCAGCGAGTAAGGTCATAAGAAAGCTTGTGTGGAGATGCTTCGTGTGTCGCTGGCTAAAAACAGAGGTAGCATCCTCGGAGCACATACAAAAGATCGATGCTCTTCATATATATGTGTCATGGCCCGGTGATATATGCATAGATTTGGCTACATATGCCAGCTGAAAACTCGAAGCAACTATACAGGGGAAACGGGATGGAAGAGCGATACTTCTCAAGCCGTGGCCAAGTAGCATATAGGCTTGGAGCAGGTACTATTCATTATAGGGATAGGCTCCTTGAATGCTCTGCGCCCTAGACCATCGGGATTGGCTTAGTATCTGCGAAGATTCCGGCCTTGTTTGCGAATTTTGGCCAAAAGTGCCGAAATTAGACAATTTGAGATCCTAAACATCCAGCTACTAGAAGAATCAAGACGAGGCCGGATTCATTTTGTTCAATGGGTCCAGAACTATAATAAGTAGCCCCCGACCCAGAGCTGAACACCGCACGGTCAAAACCTAAAGGAAACCTTATTCCTATTTTGTTTCCCCTGCACTTCCGCACCTTCTCAGCCGACGCATCTAACAAAATCCACACTCATCCAACTGGGCTACAACATAGATCTACGAAGAGCATATGAAGGACAGTCTGAGACCGGTTGCGCACAATCTAGTGGTGAAGCTCCATGAAGTCGGTACGCGTCTTCCGATGGATAAGGCTTCGTAGTGTAGTGGTTATCACCTCGGATTCTGACTTTAATAATTGGAAATTCCGGTAACGCCGGTTCGAATCCGGCCGAGGCCTCTTGTTTTTCATCTATTTTACTCACAAGGTTCAAACCGCATTTTTTTTCGAGTGAGGTAGTGGCAGATCAAAGCGCCAGACACAAGCGCTGAGCTTAGCGCCGAACTTAGCGCCGAGTTTAGCGCCGGTACTTGGACAATCTGTGGACACACGCTCGGCTTTCATTTATTCTGTTAAAGTTCATGTATGCGATCGTTTTGTCGAGGAATTAGTGGCTTTGGCCACTGAACCCCAGCTCACGGCTGAGGAATTCTTTGGGCGGCTACTCGAAAAGAAACCTGGCATTGGCGCCGATGAGCTCACCCGAGGTCTCCTATTGGTGGTACAGGGAATTGAACGTGTTGACGCGAATCAAGTGGCAAGTCCCTCGCCTATTTATGTTTTGGTGTTTAATCTGCTCGTAGGCTTCTTTTCTTAGCAATTCTCGAGGAGGGGTGATGCTCAGCCACGCGTTTGACGAGTTTACTGCAGGAAAAATAGGCGGCCTCCAGGCGAGCGACTTGGCGACGATCTATCTGGTACGCATGGACGAGCAACTCGTTAGGTTGCACTGACAAATTTCTAGTTGACACACGGAGAAGCCGATGGCAAATTCACCCAGCGGTCTCACCTCGAGATCTATCAGAATATGCTCCAGTGGCTGAGTGCGCTTCGCTACGCTATCTGTTGGAAGGCGCTGGGCAAGGACAAGCATCCGTATAAAGCCAAGCAAAAGGTGGCCGAAGCTGTGTTCCGGGCAAAGTACAATATCGCTCCGGATGTGAGTGTGAATCGCAGGTCCGATCTTTTTGTGGCATTTAATCACACGCACCGAACCTATATCCGAGCTGCAAACCGCCTGCTGTTTGCCTATCAAGTGGTAAGCCTCTTGTGGCGCTTTGACTCTTGTGTTTACCTTTTGTGCTAGTTCGGCTCGCTGCTTCTCCTATGCCCTCAACTTTCGTTTGCCTATTTTCGCCACTCGGTGCTGGGCAACCAGCTTAGCGCCACGGTCAAAACATTGGCACGGTCATTGAACAAGGCTGAGTTGAAGCGCCGCGAGACAAATTACCAAGAGCTCCTGCAGTTGTTGGTACAGTCCGCAGCAGCCGAGCCATTGAAAACAGCGTTAGGCGACTTTGAAGGGGTTATGGAAAACGTCGAGCCTGGCGATTCGTTGTTTTTATGTACCTTTCGCTTCTGTGACATCGCGCTGTATGGAATAATTGTGCCGACACCACAGATTTATTCCCCAAGCCCGGATAAACGAACAGGAAAAAGAGAGCCAGATGTATGTGCACGATTCTTTTCACAACAATAAAAATTACAACGAAAACTAGCTATTGCGATATTCATAAGCTGCCTTGTCAATCGCCTCCTTCCAGTACATCTTCCAAGCGGCCAGTGGGATGATTTCTGGGCCAGTATCAGCCTTTGGGGCAGGTGCGGCTCTAGGACGACGTGTCTTGCCGCTCGATTGTTTGGCTGGGGCCTTGCCCTTGGTCTTGGGTGCAGAAGTGGAGGCGCCCATCTCGACGTCCGCAACAGTGTTGTTGGTGGGCAGGGGCTTTGAAGGGCCGGCGGATTTCTTGGGCGCGGGAGTGGGAGAGCCCATTTCGATGTCTGAAACTGTGTTGTCGGTAGGAACGGGCTTGGAATGGGGGGCTCGGGTGGATTTCAATCGTCTGCCCTTGGTTTTGGGTGTAGGAACAGGGGAGGTTGTTTCGGCGTCGGAAACCACGTCATCGGAAGAGGCTAGCGAAACGTGAGCATCAAGCCAAATTAAAACCAAACTGTTTTACCTTGCATCTCAAAGTCTGCACTCTCGTTGTGCTTACCGAGTGATCTGGGACGCTTGCGGGGCGGGCTTTGGGCGTCATCGAATTCATTTGGCGTGGCTGCACGCCGGAGGTGTGTACGGGGTGTGACTAGGGACCGTTAACCTTGGACATATGTGCACAGAGCCCGACCTACCAGGTTCATTTTGGTTGCGAGACATTGTGTCTACAAGTGGTTAGGTCGTGGTGGCACGGGGAGGAGGTACGTAACGCAGGTTCGAATCCGGCCGAGGCCTCTTTTTCACCCATTCTACACCGAGTTTAGCGCCGGTACTTGGACAACCTGTGGACACACGCTTGGCTTTCATTCAAAAGTTCATGTATGCGTAGTATTTCAGGTACAATTCCAGCCAAGATCTTAATTCAGACGTTGCCACCTTTTATCAACTGTTAGCCGGGTGACGGGCGCATATATACCACTTACTAGTAAAATCCCGCCTGGTGAAGAGACGGCCAGTAGTCGGCTGCATCTAAAAGCCCGACATCGAGCTCGACATTCCCTCCGGAGACAAAGGCTAGGCGTCCGGCTTGGCTCCCGGAAAAGAAGTATGCATGCTTGTGCGATGTGGGACTAGGGAAGATTGTATCGATCGTGTTAACACCCAATCCTTCCCAGCGGTCGCGAATCATATGTGGTCCGTCCAATAACTCATCTGGGCTTGCCACGCCTTCCCTGAACGACACACGGCAAAACTCGCGACCACTGAAAAAGTACGCCTGATTTGTCGTGCCAGGAACCGGAATCGCGGCATCGACGCGGTCAAAGCCAGCCTTGGCCAAGGAGCGCCAGTTGGCGGTGGTTGAGCGCACCGAACCTAGCAGTTCTTCCTTGGAACTGCTGGGAGTAAACTTGAGGCGCACATACTTGGAGCCAGAGAAAAAGTACGCCGTATTCGTGTCGCCAGGAATAGGGAGGATTGCGTCAATCTGATTAAATCCAATCTCCTTGAGCGTATGCCACTCGTTGAAGATCTTGGTGGGACCATAGCGGATGGTGTCACCACCCTGGTCGGGCCACCAGGTGATCTTGACGTATCGGTCGCCTTCAAAAAAGTAGGTAGCGTCCTGGCCATCGGCATTGAGTGCAGCGCGTCCAACCATACTGCTGGTGTAATGTCAGCATGCTAAGCAATCTCCGGCAAGATATCATACTTGTTGCGGTGAATACAAGGAAGGAAACGTAAATGTAACTGGGAGGTCCCCGGTCTGAGTGCGCCAATGGGCCTGCCCTTTTAAACCCCTCTATTTGGTCTTATAATCATGGGCTGAGCGCTCAAAGGCTTGACGATCCTGAAAAAAGTAGACCGGCAGCGTCGACTACACCTACCGGCTAACAGAGTGCGATCATTCGGCACTTTCTTCCATCAAGGAATGCCCGGGATCCTGACATATCCGTACATCCAGTGGTTCTCGGATATCCTGCGCCAATGAGCTACCGAGAGCTCGCCGCATGCGGTGAGTAGCTGAAAGTCAGCTGAGTACTGACTCGGCATGCCGACGAACGACATTTCAAGTCGTGCAAAAAGGGACAATACAGATTATTCCAAGAAGCAAACGGGATTAGACCTTCTACAAATCCTGGTGCAAACTGGGTGTCACGTCGCCAGATATCTTGTTATACTCTTGTCAGTGCGCATTCAACACAAGAACATGGCTATCCTTCACGCCACTGCGATTCATACACAGTTTAACCCGGCTAGCATCTCGTCACACTTTCCTGATTGCAATTGGAGCCTGCGATGCCCTGAGAAGATCTCAGGTATTGATCTCATTCAGTTATGCCCGACTCTGGAGATCATAGGCACGGGCTTAGTATCTTGGTTCGAGGGCTAGTTGATTTATCAATCAACACGCTGGATACTTGACAGGCGATATGCACAACTAGAGCTATTCGGAGAGTAGCCATACCTGCCCTTCATACGGCTGCAGTTCAACTTTCCTACCCAAGATTGCGCCTCGCTTTCCAGACAGGATGTTCCCACCAATGAGTTTAAAGTCGTTTGATGAGATGCTTTCAGGCAAGGCGTAGCTAGCTACTTCTCGACTAAAGTTCATTACCACCAGTGCCGTGACTTTGCCGTGTTTACGGGTATATGCGAATATTCGCTCGTCTTCCTCAGACAGCAGAGTAAAGTCGCCATGCACCTAAGAATTTTAAACGTAAATAGTACTCTTTCATGAGAACGGTGTCCTTACCAGGACCGGATAGTCCTTCCGCAGCTGGATCATTTTCTTCCAAAAGGATAGAATAGATCCTTCGTCATCGACTTGATTCTTGACGTTGATCGAGGTATAGTTATCATTCACTCGCATCCAGGGGCTATTTCCTGTGGTGAACCCAGCATGCGCAGAGTCGTCCCACTGCATACACCCAGTTTGTTGGTGGATTCGAGAGATTCAGTCAAGCGCATACCTGAACTGGAACACGAGCGTTATCCCGCGCCTTGCGGTTAATGCCGTCCATAACCTCGGACATATCGGGACTCTTTATCCCAGACCTTGTCCGGCGTTCGAGCTCCCTGTTATGTCGCATCAGTTCTCCTGGTCATCCGGATAAAATACTGGCGTACTCTTGGTAAAAGTTGATCGTGCATACATCCTTGTACTCCTCGATCGGCCACGACCTCGGAACGTTTACAGAACCGATCTCCTGACCTTGGTAAATAAACACAGTCCCTCCCTGGGTGGTATGCAAGATCGCAAGTAGCTTGGCCCCAACACTCCAATAGTTCTTCAAATCTTCCTCATAGGTACCAAAATTGAACCTTTTCTTGTCAGCATCCGCGCCAAACCCAAGCAACCTAGAAACCGAACGCGCTTGGTCGTGGTTCTCGAGGTAAAGCGAATTCCAGCCGCCGTTGGTGAACATGTACGTTTGCCATTTGTTCACGACAGATTTGATTTCGGAAAGTGGTGGAATGCGAGGGATCATCGGTTTATCTGGATATTCGGGAGCGATATCTCGAGAGTTGGGAATAGGCGGGTGGGTGGGCGTACTTGCTCGCAAGGCCTGGACTTACCTAGGTCCACTAATTCAAATTGGAATACCATCTGAAGTTCCTTGCGCTCTGGTAGGATATACTTTAGCAAGTCCGCCGCTTCGTGAGTGAACGGCGTCTCTCCAACAGTAAAGTAGTTTGGGTATCCTAACAGAAAGTTCAGTGCTCGTAATACGGTAGACAC